AGGACCATGATGGGAAACATTATGTGACCATTTTATTTCTTCTTGTGGTGAATGAGGAGAAGCTTTTTAGCCCCCCAGTCTGGGCACCCAGAGGATGTATGTGAGAAGAGTTTTACATTAAACCGCTACGCTTGTTGACTGTCCTTGGCACTCCCTTCAGATGGGAACACTATTGGTTGCCCTTTGCAGACTTAAGAAAATTATTAGATTTCTGCTGTAATACTAGTGCTTCTGATTTTTCACTCATAGATAACAAAGCTGCAGCCCTTTTAATGCTGACGAAGAGTGTGGATTTTGTGAAGGATGCACATGAGGAAATGGAGCGAGTGAGGCGACCTTTGTCTTTGCTGACCATTGGAAGGCAACTCTGTGACTAGTAGATGAGAATTGATTATAAAGAGAGACGATTGACCACATAGGTCCTGTCCTCACTCCTGTCCCCCATCTCCCATCTCCCACCCCATGCCCATGTGTGACTTAGTACCATTCCCCTCTGTTCCATTGCTGGACTAGGAGAGTGAGAACAAGGTTTATGAAGTGATTCAACTCTGTAGCCCTTAGTGAAGTAGCTGGCTGAGATTTGGGGACAGCTCAGACATGATACTGAAAAGTACAATAGGTTTGGTTGTTTTTTTTCATTCAAATATATCATGGTGTGTCTTAGGCTGTGGATGAATATGACCCTTACTGTGGCCTCTTGAATGACACTGAGGAGGACACCTCTGACAACCATGGTGATGAAGAGGATGATGTGTTGGTGTCTCTAAACAATCGGGACTTATATTGGTCAGAGGAAGACCAGGAACTTATAATCCCATGCCTTGCACTGGTGAGAGCATCCAAAGCCGGCCTGAAGAAAATCCGGATCTCAGTGGCAGAGAATGGGAAGAAGGATCAGGTGGCCCAGCTGGACGACATTGTGGATATTTCTGATGAGATCAGCCCTAGGTAAGCATGATCCCCACGTGAAACTTCTGAGCACCAGCATTCTGGTCTCAGCTTGTGCTCTCACCCCAAGGTTTTTCCCCAGGTTTTTATTTTGAAAAATTTCAAACCTACAGGAAAGTTGAAAAAGTATTGCAGTGAACAGCCATACGTCCTTCATCTAGATCACCTGTTGTTCACATTTTTTTCTATATTGGTTTATTTCTCTATAGATAGATGTGCCGTTTTTTCCCCTGAACCATTTGAGAGTAAGTTGCAGGCATCAGTGACATTTCACGCCTAAATACTTCAGCATGTATCTCCTAAGAACAGACATTCTTATTCTTGTTTGCATTATTACATCCAATAAATGTGACATTGAATATAATAATAATATATAATATTTCAGTTATCTCTAAAATGTCTTTTATAGGTTTTTTTTTTTAAATCCAGGGTTTTGTTAAGGTGTCACATTGAATTTGGTTGTCATCACTTTAGTCTCTTGGAACTAGAACAGTCCCTGTCCTTTTTTGACATTAAAATTTTTAAAAATCCAGGTCACTTGTCTTGTAGAATATCCAACAATCTGAATTCATGTGATTGTTTTCTCATGATTGTAGATTATATTCAGATTAAAGATTTTTGGCAACAGTATCACATAGTTGAGTGTTTTGTGCTTCTCATTGCATCATATTGGGGAGGCACATGATGTTTGTTCCATTATTGGTGGTACTAAATTTGATCACTTGGTTAAAGTGGTGCCCACTTTAGTGGCATTCCAGAGATGAACCCCGCCTGTACCAGTTATTAAATTGATGGTTTCAGATCCTCACATTTTTAACTGAATTAATCATGTCCCATCCTACAGGCTAAGGAGTATTTTCCCCCCAGCTTCCTAGTGAAACGGGGTATGTATGTGTCCGGTAAATACCAGTTGAATTGATTCTTTCTTGGTTGCCTGGTTGCCCAATTTAAGGAACTGATAGGCATTTCTGGGACAGTCATTTTCTCACTAGTCACATCCTTAGTTCTGGACTGGAAACCACCTAGCTGAGCTTTGTTCTTTTTTTTGTTAATGGTTATTTTTGCCTTCTGCCCTTAGTGTGGATGACTTGGCTCTGAGCATATATCCACCCATGTGCCACCTGACTGTGCGAATCAACGTAAGTACTGTCTTTGAGGGAAAAGCTATAGACCTAATAGGTAGAATTTCACTAATCACTAGTATTTCCTCTAAGCTATAGGGAATATATTTGTTACACTTTGATGCAAGTGCAACAGTAATGTGGCAGTCCTTTCATGTGTTTCTCCTTGATAAATATTTGCTGAAGTTGAATTATAATAGCCATGAGCTCTGGTAGTACTCTCTTCCATAACCACTTGGGTAATCATTTGGAAAAACCCAAAGACCTTAGAAAATGCTGCTTTGAAAACAACATCTTAATTATTACAGTACTTAAAGATCCTCTCAACCTGAAGTCACAAGTTTCTAATTTCTAGTATAGGCAAAAATAAGTGTTCTAGACACATACTGTGTTCTAATGTAAACACATTGTGTGAGTTAACTATGGAGGGTCAAGTTCTTTATAAAAATCTGATTTTATTGTTTTCTTTCTAGTCCTGGATCCTGTGCTAGAGAGAGTTCTGTTCTCTTATTTTTATAAATTCAAGTTCTTATCTCTAATGTTACTGGAAAGAGAAGTAAAACTGCCAAATGGCTTTTTACAACTAGATGTATCAATGCTAACAATATTTGATAAATTAGGTAGTGGAAATTAGATTCATCAAATGTATCTTCACAATGTGCAAACACTTTGAAGTAGAATGGGATCCTTTTGGGAATTAACTTCTTTTTCCCTGTTCACTTTTTAAAAATTGACTTCCTAAGAAATAAACATCTTTAGCAATATGCCTTGTCAATTACCCTAAATAAAATTTTAAAATATGTACTATGTATTGGTGGCATACGTACATCCTCATGTTATCTTGCTATTGGTTCTTAAAATTCTGTACATAGATTTTTTTAAAAAGAAAAATTAGTTGTTTCTGCTATATAGTCTGAGCTATCAACAGCTGGGACAAATTCAGGTTATGTTCTTCCTTTTTCTGTTTTTTTTTTTTTAATTAAGAAATATTTTAAATTAAAAAAAAATTATAAAAATGTTTTAGCAACACTATTGATAAGATTTTGCTAATTGGAAAAGAGCCCATAAGCCTACCACCCTAATCTAATCAGCATTTTTGTTTTTGCATATTTCCTTCAAGGTTCTTTTTTTTTTTTTTTTTTTACCATTTTTATTATTTGAGTGTTTTAAAATATTTTAGCTCTCCTTTCTTTTTTAGGGTAGGTTTTGGGGTGAGTAACTTCTCTTTCTTTTCTAGTCTGCGAAACTTGTATCCGTTTTAAAGAAGGCACTTGAAATTACAAAGTGAGTATGAGGACTTCTCCCCAGATAGCTTTTTGAGAATAAACCTGTCCAGCCATTCTCAACTCCCAAACCCCCATTTCAAGGAGTGCAAGAAGGTGTGTGTGGTGTCTTTTTTCAACTTCAGTTGTGGAGCAGCTGTGTTTCTGCAAAGGAACTTGCCTTTTCTTACTATAGTTTCCTCTGTGCTCCCTGTTGAGGATAGTTTTTCCCTTGACAGTATAATAAACTTGACCTCTCTTTTCCCATTCCATTTGCAGAGCGAGTCATGTGACCCCAAAGCCAGAAGATAGTTGGATCCCTTTACTCATTAATGCCGTTGACCATTGCATGAACAGAATCAAGGAGCTCACCCAGAATGAACTTGAGTTATGAGTTTTCAGGCTCGTTTGTGCTCTCCTCTTTCCCTTCCTTACTGTCACAGCCAGGCTCTGATGTCTTCTTTTAAAATGGGGCTAGAATGCTTTCTGGATTGAAAGGGAGTCCCTTTCTATACTTATCCAGAGACACTATTACCAAAGATTGTTGGTTAGGCTGGACTGGCAATTATTTATAAACCATATGAGTACGATATATTTTTCTGTGCTAGATAAAGAAGATAATTGCATGAGTTTGTGTTCCTGAATCGCCTCTCAGAGATTCCTAGGGAAGCTGCCTTATTCCCTATTTGCAATAAAGTTTGTCGTTTTATGGTTAAAGATGTTGGTAGTCTCAATAAAATGCTAACCTGCCAGTGGTTAAATGAGTACCCTTCCAGAGTTTCTTTCTACCAGAAATACAGTGGGTTGAGACTAGAAAATTGCTTTCATTTGAGTTTATAGGTCTAAAGATCTGATTTGATCAGAAGTATATTTAGAAGTACATTTAAACAATTGATTTTAATTTATTTAGAGAAAATGACTCCAAAGCCCCGCTTAGTACTTCAGCATGTTATATAATATCATTATTCTTATCATTAAGTCTTTCTGAATATTATTCCAGGTCACTCTATGCCTCTAAAATTATTTTTCGGTATTGAGCTCGTTTGTTAGGTTTGTCCACCTTATTGAACAGATTTGTTTTTCTTATACATACCTGTATTGTTGTTCACTGATATATATTACGTGTCCTCAAATGTAAATACAAAATTTTTATAAATCAAAAAATTTTAAATGTATAAGAGAGTTTATATAATTTTAAGGGACTCTTCAGTTAATCTTTTTGTGAAACCATTGCCACTTAAGTATATTTTTGCATCAGTCTGGAAGATCACATATTGGAAAGCAAAGTACACCTGTATAATGTATATTCTGGTGACCTGAATTGGGCCTTATGCTTGTACTGCAGGTCTCCACAACCTCTCATGCCACTCCTTTCCCTTGTTTAGGTGTAATTCATCACATCTGCCCTTCTCATGTCCCCATGGTCTCTTTAGCAATAGCAACAGCAGCCATTCTTTTGAGTGAGCAGTGTGTACTTGGGGTTGAAATTCCTTAAGTCAAGAGTTCTAATTTACTTGTATAAAGTGCCATTCTGTACTTTTAACAAGTGTCATAAAGAGAAAGAACTAAAATCAAACTGAGAGAGTGCCAAAGCAACAAAATATTGTAAAAAAAAAAAAAAAAAACTTTGGGTAAAGGAGTCCAGTTCTTCTGTCTCTTCTTATAGGGCCTATTTTCAAAATATTTAATAATGTTCATATTTCTCTGCTGGACCAAATTCATGTTATTAACATCAGACTTTAATTGTGGGATACCTAATGAATATAGAACTCTAGTAAAGACTTATCTGTAGTTGAATCTGGAAGATCATTCTGCTCTCAGGTTCTTTGTTGTTTATTTTATAACTTTGTTCAGTCATCTTTGGATCTTTAAGGATAATGGTCAGGTCAGGGATAGCACCAATCAGTGTAATCTTAGGATTACTTGAAAATTCTATTTTTAGCTAATATTGTCCCACTTTATCAGAAATATAAGAATGCTTTAAATGTTAAATTCTTTTCCTGACCTGTAAGTTAATTAATATATTAGTGAGCAGTAAAATGGTTATGAAAAACCGTGAACCCAAAAAATCTGAATGTAGTTATCTGAGTACCTTTTCAAAGGCTTCCTTTTATCTCTCAAGCACAGTAGTTTCCAATCTAAGACAGCTAGTCTTCACGGCTCCCTTAAGCTGGGGTGACAGAAATGAATGTCTTTTCAATTGATTTATGGAGATCTAGTTTTGTTCTTGGTCAGTCTTCTGCTCAACCTCAGTGGAGATTCGTTTGTCTGATAAGCAAAGTTTCCCTTCCCAGCGTGTTTGGTTTTAGATTGTAGATTCAAAGGGGTGGTTGGGGAGAGTGACACTAGAGCTGGAAGTATAAGCTGGAAGTTCAGGGGCTACGACAGTGACACTTCTGTAGTTGGTCAGGTTCTGGAACATATTGCAGTCCATTTCCACAGTGAGCATCTGGAGTCCCACCTGCGTCGGCGTGAACTGGAATTGGGTGCGCAAGGTTTTTCTAGGCCACACTGAATGTAATCTGAAATAAAGGAAAAGGCAGGTGCTAGTTCTGTCCCAGGTTCATTGCTTTGCTGGTCCCAGTGACTCTGATCCTTCCCTATTTGAAGAAGTGGACTGTGAAGAAATAAACATCTAAGTACCTTGCTGTTAAAACAGAGGTGGCTTTCAAGGGAAGACAGGACCCACCCTACGGTAAGCAATTGCATGGTTGAGAAGAGAAATATCCTATTCTAAGGGTTTCCAAGCTGCATCTATTGTTTCTTTTATCACCTGTGACTTCAGTCTGGTCCCACCCTTGGTAATAGTACTAGGGTATGTTTGGAAAAGCTATAGTTTTGGAACCCTCACGTTGCTAAGTGCAGTGGGTACAGCAGACATATTGGGAAGATGTCAATATGTCATTTGGTGGTGTTTGGAGCCCTATCAGCAACCCCTGGCCTGCCTGTGGACGTTCTTATGGTGACTGAGGGAATGGTGCAGATTTCCTTTGAGGAGCTTTGCCCCATAATTGATCTGGGAGACCACAAAAGTTTGGTTAAATGTTGGCAGTCCTTCCTCTCAACTTATTGGCAAGAGTGACTCTTTGAGTTTCATGAGTCTGAGGCAGTGGCTCAGTAACCAGACTACCTGTCAGGGCCCTCAGGGATGGTAGGAGTAGGCATCATGAACTCTAAACTGTATACTCTGTATTCAACGAAGGATGCAGTGGACATGAGAGAAGGAGAGATAATGAAAGAAGATACTTGCAACATCTAAAACCAACAAGGGACTAATACCTAGACTATACAGGGAACTCCTACAAATCAACAAGGAAAAAAGGCAGGAACACCAAAAGAAAAGGGACAAAGATAAGAACAAACTTCACAGAGGAGGAAGTGGAAAAGGCTAATAAACATACAAAGAGTTGCAAATTAAAACAATAATGAGATATTACCTTGTTTTGTTTGGAAAAAAGAGAGCTGGGTATTGCCAAGAGTGGAGGAACAGAAGGAGTATAGAAACTGTCATGTACTGCTGGAGGGAGTGCAGACTCCTGGAGCCGTTCTGCGAACAAATCTGATAGTACCTGGTCAAACCAGGTCGTATCTTGTGACTCAGCAATTCCATTCCTGGACATATATATCTCCCCTCCCCCATCAAAGTTTCAAACAAGTATATAAAGGGACATGCGCGAGGATGTGTAACAGTGTTTGTGGTGTCTGAGAGTTGGAGGCACTGTGGGTGCCCATCACTTTGGAGTAGAGTGGTAAGAAATGGAGGATGTGCACAGTGGCGTATCATGTAGCAGAAACAATGGACTTGACATATGTGGATGGACCTTAAAAACATAGTTCTGAGTGAAAAGTAAGAAAAAGAATTAAATATAACATCATTTATGTAAGTTAAAAATACAGCTTGTGAAGCAACAGTACACATTTTACACATAGTAATGATAGGATACACATATTAACAAAAGGATATGAAGGGTGGTGGTGGGAATGGGAGTAGGGAAGAGGAATAAAAGGGAATGTTTAAATAAACAAAATTCTGTATCGTAGTTGTCATTAGTACAATGCAGCTCTCTGGCTGCACCGGAAGGCAGTCTGCCCTCCCTGTGATATTCTCCAGTACCAAGCCATAGCCCCCTTGTCTGCAATCACCAGCAACACCCAAGATCTTCCTGCATGACCAGGGCAGCAACCAGGGTCAGGTGGGTGCTCAAGGGGTACACAGCCTCCCTTTCTCCCATAGTCCTGTAGACATGGTGGCCCCCGGGTGAGAGAGGCCCTAATCCTTTAGTTCAACTTTGGAGGTTATTTGCTCTGTCTCTATGGACACGGCAAAAAGACGGTCATTAGTCTTGGTCCTTGCCTTTCTGAGCAGTTGAGATGTTTCAGTGCAATGAGAAGCTTGCAGTCTCTTACCTGTAGCTCCTCTCTCTGTGAATGAGCCCCCTTCCAAAGATGGAGATCACACAGTCCTCCATGGGATCATGTAGGGAGTTATGGATACTGACCAAGGCCGTAAGAGGTTGGTATTGCTCTGCTATCTTTGGCATCTGTGGGAAGAGGCAAAACGTGGAGCAGATACCAAGAGCGAGAGCTGCACTCACTGCTTCCCGCCCTGGCCACCCTCCTTGTAGCCTTCTCAGTTACTCTCCTATGTCTGCCATCCTCACCCAAACTCCACAGCTGAATTCTTTACCCCTCTACCTGGTTTTTCTGCATTTACTGTCACCCTTGATCCATCACTGACCATCTCTGATGGTGCCTCTCCTCCACTTAGAAATCTTGGAAGGTTTCAGCTTCATTTGGCATTCAGAGCCCTTCGTGGTCTGACCCCACTGCTTCTCCAACCTCATCTGTTCTTCCCTTGACCAAAAGACATCCCAGCCATGTCGGGCACTTTCCCATCCCCTGCGTACCCTTCGAGCTCCTTTCCTTTCAGCCTCTTTGCTCAGTCTGCTGCCCACAATGGCCTCCCCCCAGCTCTGCACTGAAAACCTACCCCTCTTTCAAGGCCCAGCATAAATGCCATCTCCTCCATGAAGTCTTCCTTAAACCCACAGCTGGAATGAATCCTCTTTACTTCACTTATCCCATAGTGACTTTGTACCTCTATTAAAGCACTTACATAGAAGACCAAATGTTGTGTTTCCTTTACCCAACTATAACCTCCTTGAGGGCAAGGACCAGATTGCATTTATTTTGGCCAGGGTAGACACGTGGAAAGAGGACTGGACCAAGAGCCATAAGCCTCTAAAACATCCCATTTTTATGATCTTGGGCATGTTGCTTTCTAGGACTGTTCCTTCATCTGAATAATGGAAAAAATTCCGCCTCACAGGGCTTTTGTATTTAAAGAAAGAAAGAAGGGGAAAATATGTTGGCATATGTATAAAGTGCTAAATAAACAAAGGCTATTATTTATCTCTGTAAGTATGGAGGCAGCAACTGGGAAGGTCCTGATTTTAGAAAGCTTTGCTTAACCAACTAAAGAAGTTGGAAGATTTAAACCTTAATAGTATATGTAAGAAACCATCTCTTGCAAGAGAAGGAGCTCTTAACCTAGCATTTTCTGGTAATCCTCCAGCACGGTCATCTGCTCTGAAGCTTGAGAGGCTCTGATTCCTTCTGAAATGGGGACCTCAGTAGTAGCAAGCAAGAGCAGTTCAGGAAAGGACTGGTGCCTACCTCGATGGCAAGGCGTGGTCTCCAAATGGCAATGTCTTCCTGAGCAAAGCAGCTAAGGCTGGACTCAGAGTGTGTTACCATGGCAGTGAGTCTGAGAAAGCTGTTCTCCGGTGGGCTTCGCTCAAAGCAGGAAAAGGACAGGCTGTTGGTGATTTTCTGAACTGAAATACATGACAGGTGGAGTCAGTGCAAAAGGGTAAGTGTGTATGCTCTGGAAACAAGCAATAGTTACACACACAATGCAAAGGAGTCAGGATCTCATTGAAGCCAGAGAGATGCTTCATTCCTCACAGCAATTTCAAATTTGAACTCACTTAAGAACCCACCCCACACCACCATCACCGCCTCCACTAACACTCTTGGCAGATCACCTCAATGGGGTTGTGGATAGGTCCTTGTGAACCAGAACAAGTTAAGATCTTTTGGCCTCAGTTTCCTTGTCTAATAATAACACCTACCTGGTGGGATGGCTTGTGTTGTTAAATGAGATAACTGCAAATGAAGTGCTTATCTCAGACCCAGCCACACAGTCATTGCTGAATATATGCTTACTTAGTTTCCCTCCCATTCTCTGCTTCTCTTTGCCTTTTGCAGAGAAAATGAAGCCATCCTTCATCCTTGAGGAATCCTCTCAAGCATGTTCCCATTCCTAACCTATAGATGTAGACATCTACCCCTGCTGTCACTGCCCCTCCCCCCAACCAGGAGGATGAAGTGTACCTCCTGCCCCAGTCGAGTCCTCTGCTTTTAAAATCTGTGCCCCATCCTGACCCCACCACTGCCTAGCTGTGTAACTTTGGACAAATCATTTAACCTCTCTGTGTCTTGGTCTTCTCATCTGTAAAGTGAGGATAATAATGGTTTCTTCCTCATAAGGCTGTTGTGAGGATAAATGAGATAATGCGTATAGAACACAACTCCATTTTTGCCAAAAATAAGTGCTTAATAAATGTGAGTTATAATTATTCTAGTTGCCTCTCATTTCCTCAAGGATTGCACCGTCGGTTATAACCCATCTCTCCTGAAGCTTCAGTCTTTCCCTCTCTGCTGATTACAGATCCTCCTCTACTTATGATGGGGTTACATGCTGATAAATCCATTGTAAGTTGAAAATATTGTAAGTTGAAATGCCTTTAATACACCTAACCAGGGCTGGCCCCGTGGCTTAGCGGTTAAGTGTGCGCGCTCCGCTACTGTTGGCCCGGGTTCGGATCCCGGGCGCGCACCGACGCACTGCTTCTCTGGCCATGCTGAGGCCGCGTCCCACATACAGCAACTAGAAGAATGTGCAACTATGACATACAACTATCTACTGGGGCTTTGGGGGAAAAAAAGGAGGAGGATTGGCAATAGATGTTAGCTCAGAGCCGGTCTTCCTCAGCAAAAAGAGGAGGATTAGCATGGATGTTAGCTCAGGGCTGATGTTCCTCAAAAAAAAAAAAAATACACCTAACCTACCGAACATCATAGCTTAGCCTAGCCTACCTTAAATGTGCTCAGAACACTTACGTTAGCCTACAGTTGGGCAAGGTCATCTAACACACAGCCTGTTTTATAATAAAGTGTTGAATATCTCATGTAATTTATTGAATACTGTACTGAAAGTGAAAAACAATGGTTTTATGGGGACAGAATGGTTATAAGTGTATTGGTTATTTACCCTTGTGATTGCATGGCTGACTGGGAGCTGCAGCTCACTGCTGCTGCCCAGCATCATGAGAGAGGATCAAAATGCATGTCACTAGCCCAAGAAAAATCAAAATTTGAAGTGCGGTTTCTACTGAATGCATATTACTTTTGCACTGTACCATTGTAAAAGTGGAAAATCGTTAAGTCGAACCATTGTAAGTTGGGGACCGCCTGTATTTTCCTCTGCATGTAAGCAGAGTCCACTCTCTCTCATCTTAAAAGAAAACAAACACCCTCCCTCTACCCAGTGTCCCTGGCTGACTACCAACCAGCCTCTCTTCTTTTTCCATCCATTCTTCCATGCAAGACTGCACACCTTGTCTCACCTCCTCAGCTCTCAATCCATTTAACTCCCAGGAAGCTGGCATTCTCCAGTGCTTCTCAGTAAGACCACATTGTCAAATGGATGCTTTCCAGCCTTGATATCTCATGGCCTCTCTGTTGACCTTACTGGATGCCCCCTTCCTCTCTCTGCCTTCTCCCTTACTTTCCACTCTCTCCCTTACTGCCTCCTACATGCTGGTGCTGCCCTGGGTTCCCTCCTCACCCTCTGTCTTCTCACAGTCCTTCCCCCATCCCTGTGAGCTCATCAATGCTCTGACTCTTGGCTGCCCCCTCTGTGCTGGGATTCCTACATCTGGTCTCCAGGCTAGCCTTTATTTTGAATACTAGGTTTAGGTTTCCAGCTGCTTACTGGCCATCTCTGCTTGGATGTCTCATGGGCTTTCAAACCTAACGTGTCACAAACACAACTCATAATCTTTCTCCCCAAACCTGCTCTTCGCCATTTTCCCTAGTCTAGAGGCTCACCAAAACTGGAAGCAACCCCCAACCCCTCCTCCCCGCACCACACATATACATACTCACAAGTCTAGCCTATCCTACCTCCTTAATATGTCTTCATTCAAAGTGCTGCTAGTTTAGTTTGTCCTTCATTTCTTGACTTATTATTACAAAACCTTGCAACCTCTAATCCAGTGATTCTCAAACTTGGCTGCACATTAGAATTATATGGGGAGATTTATGAAATAATCCAAATGCCAGGCCATGTCCCAAATCAATTATATCAGAATCTGGCAGTGAGACCCGGGCATCAGTATTTTTAAAGTTCTCCAGGTGATTCAACATGCAGCCAAGGTTGAGAAGCACTACTCTAATATGACCCCTTCCATTCCGTTCCACCAGAAGTTCTTTTTTTAAAATGAATTTCTGGTCACATTGACTCCCCTGGTTAAAACATTTCACCAGCTCCCCATTGCCCAGAGAATAAAGCTCAAACTCCTTAGCATGATCTACAAGCCCCTTGATGGTCTGGCCCAGGCCAGCCCTCACACTACTCCCCCACTCCACCCCTCCTACTCCTGGAAAGAGAACACGGTGGAGAGAATGGAGGCAGGGGTCCAGTTAGGAGGCTGATGCAGTAATGTAGACAAGCTCTATTCCACTGCTTCTTTCTTGCCTGCCCACTAGAATTACCCAAGGAATTTACAAATTTTTTGATGTTTGGGTCCAACCATGGAGTTTCTGATTTAATTGGTCTGGGGTGCAGGCTAAGCATCAAACTTCCCCAGGTGATTTTGATGTGCAGCAAAATTTGAGAACAACTGCTCTAGTCCAGGGAATTTCAAGCCTAGAATAACATATGAAGCTTTAAAAAAATACCAGTGCCTGGATCCCATCCTAAACCAATTAAATAAGAATCTCGGGGAAGAGGAGGAACCTGTGCACATGTTGTTCCTTCTGCCTGGAATGCCCGTGATTCACTTTTCTGTCCATCACTACCCTACTTGTCCCTTAAGACCCAGTACGGTCTGATTTACTTGGGGGCAGCCTGCTCCAGCCTGGGTGAGTGCTCACCTGTCATTGTACTCTGTTTACCTTATTAAACACTTCTTATGCTGCTACCATGGTCTGTTTACTTATCTGACTGCAATTGGAATTGTGGGGGTTTTTTGTGAGTGAAGCTCAATAAATATGTGTTGAATGACTGAGAGAAAGAGAGAGAGCACCAGAGGCTAGAAGCCATCCCTTCAGACCTTCAAGGAGTGAATATGGTTGCTGCCTGCCCAGAGTGGGAGTTGGGTGTGTGGGGTGTCTGGCGGGGCCATCGACAGTTACCCAGGTTGGCAGTGAGCGTAAGGAGCTGCTTCTCCCTCCAGAGCTCGGCAACAAGGATGCCGTTGTAGTACACCGCCTGCACCCCAAGGGACAGCTGCACATTCTTCTCCTGGTCACTGAGGTTATGCAGGGTAACAGAGAACTGGGCATCCCCTCCCAGGGGTAGGGAGCTGGGCGCTTCCAAGAACAGGTACAAAGGCTCGGCAGACTCGAGACTGGGAGGACGGATGCCATTGTCTTTCTCATGTTTCATTCTCTCTTTCTGGACTCTCTCCAGCACCTCTTTTTCTTGAAGAGACCCTGAAGAATGGAAGAAATCAAACAGGCCTCTTACCCAGCAGGTATAGACTCTTCTAATAAAAGCCCAGGATTAAAATTCATCTACTCACTGCTGCTCAAATGCCAAAGTCACAAGAGCTTTGCACGCCTCTAAGGCCATATTTAGCTAAAAAAAGGTCTGTGTTAGGCAGATCCACAACAGATACAGCATGTCTCTTCCAAGTCACTCAAGGACCAAGTTCTTCTTCAAGTGCTATGAATTTGCCCCTTAAACAGTAGGAGAGCAAGCTTTTGGATAAGTCACACTGAGGACAGTTTTGCAGGGATTTGAATCTTCCCAAGTGAAGAAGTTTGGGTTTATTCTAAGGGCAATGGGGGCCATGGAATATTCTGGAGCAGGAGAGTAACATAATTACATTTGTGTCTTTGAAAGCTTATTCTGGAAACTGAAAGTTGGAAAGGGAATAATGATGAAGAGACTGGAGACAGAGGGTCCAGTTAGGAGGCTGTTGCAATACTGCAGACAAGAGATGATGAGGCCCTGGATTACCTGTAGGCAATGGGGAAGGAGGTGAGGAAATGGATGTAAGAGTAATGTGGGGTGGTGATGCGGGAAGACTCAAGGCGAATGCAATCCTTCTTGTTTGGACAAATAGGTGGACGGTGGTGCCATTAACTAACATGGAGGGAGGAAGGGGTTGGGGGGGCGTTGGACAAGAGGAGGAGAGGGAGAACATCTGACAGCTGGGTTTGGTATTAAGTGTGTTGTTTTATAGCAGTGGTTCTCAACTGGGGGCAATTTTGCCTCCCAGGGGACATTTGGAAATGTCTGGAGACATTTTCAGTTGTCACAACTGGTGGTGATTGTAGTGGGGGCTGGTGCTGGCATCTGGTGAAAAAAGGCCAGGAATGCTGCTACATGTCTTATGATGCACAGCCCCCCACAACAAAGAGATACGGCCCAAAATGTCAATAGTGTCAAACGAGGTTGAGAAATCCTGTTTTATATGATTGGGAAAGGACTGCAGCTATCTGTGGCCTGCATCTGTCTGGCACATCCCTTCCTCTCTTTTGAAACCTCTGTTTCAGGTTCTGAGAAGCTTGGGCCCCTCCCCCACACAGTACCTTCAGGATACTTGTAGTTCTGAGTGATGTCCTCACAGCGGTCAACGCCCACACCCTTGGTGCTGATGTTGTTCCCAACATACTTAGTGTTGAAGTTGGTCAGCTCCGGTGTGCCTTCCTCACGGCACTTCCAGACCACACACGAGGCATTTACCATGGCAAAAAGGTCTGATACTGCAGGGGTCAGCTCCAGTTTCCCCTCCTTGACCGCTCTGACTGGGACCAGATCACAGGCCTCCAGGACTGAGGGAGAGAAAGGTCAGTGAGCAAGAGGAGCCACACCAAGACCTCTGCCTGGGTGAGACCTGCATAACCTCAGTCCCCATTCTGTACCTTATGTTCCCTCCCCTGGGATCAAGGTCAGAGGTGGGCACTAGGCAGTTTCTGAGAGGGCATTGCAGAGGTGAAACTCACAACTATTTAATGACAATACTTTTTGGTCATGGCCTGTGGCAGGAGCCCTCTCAGAAAGTGGACAGGTAGAACCCCAGAGGCACGTAGTACACAACTTGACTAGGATATGAAAGGAATAGGTCACCTTTAGTGAGCACTGATTATGAGCCAGGCTCTGTGACTATTTCTGGGAATGGAAGAGCCATCCTTTTATGGCTCCTGAAGATTCCTTCTCTGAGCTTGAGCCTATCCTGATACCTTCTTCATCCATATCCAGAATCTGAGGAGTCCCACCCCGCAAGGCCCTGGACCTGGCACATCCACCAGCTATCTTAAGACCCTCTGCCCTTCATGGAGACTCAGACCTCTCGCCTGTTGCTCTGAGGTGGGGCTAGTCTCCCCACAGCCTTGTGGCCAAGATGGCTGACACCTTTGTTCCCTTGAGCCTGCTGGCATCAGGTCAGCATTCTGCTGGCCACTATCATTCCTTCCGCTTCTCCTGTTTTAGGGGATGCAGACGCCCTTTGCACCACCTGCTGCTCCTGTTTCCACTCCGAGGGACTCCTTCACCTCGTGCAGCTCTGTGCAGCCCAGGCCCACCCCCAGGCTTTACCTCTGCCTCCATTAGGAGCTCTTGGATACAGAATCTGCCATCCACCATAACCCCGGTCCAAAGCAGGCCGGGTCATCCAGCACTCTGTGGAAGTCTGGAAGATCCTGAAAGTAGCAAAGGGAATAATTCAAGTGGGAAAAAAAGGAGTCCTGAGGAGGTTCTAGAAATGGCAGAGTTGTTGTTGCCATGGGGATGGGAGGACACTGTGTAAAAGTAACTACAACACTTCTAGGAAGGGGCATGCATGCTACGACTGACCATCAGTGTCCAGCCTTCAAGAGTCTTGAAGGCAGTGGGGGTTCCCATGGGGTTATACCATGCCTATTTGGAGCCCTTCCGGGTCCAAGGCCTCATCCCCCTTGGGCTTCTTACCAGATTCTGCCTCTCTGGCCTTCTCGGTTCTGAAGCCCCTCCTCATTGTAGTACTCGTCTACAAGCAGGCCCCCGCCGGTGCCCTGGGCTGAGTTGAAAGTTGTAACAACGCGGGCAGGGATTCCCAGGCATCGCAGCACTGTGTGGAAGGGGGCAGAGAGTCAGAGGGCAACAGAGAGGCCTGAGGTGGGGGGGATACAGCTAGCATTTTCAGTGTCTCCTCTGGGCAAGCACTGTCTTAAATTCCCAGTGACACTGTGGAAAGAGGAGGGGCATGGGCACCAGGAAGTGAGAACTGACACCCAGGCACAGGTCGTATACAGGCCAAGAAATGAGGTACGAACAAGTTACACAGCAGGCAGGGTATACAGCAGGGGGAGGCTTACAGAATATACAACAGAGCACTGGGGGCTTGGTCTATTGGGGCAGGAGTGGGGGGAGTTTTGGGGAGAAAGTGAGTTTGGGAGCAGAGTTTGCCATATGGGCCCAACTTTGCTGAGGGAAAAAGGAGCAGAAGGTGGTGTGTGGTGGAGGGGGAGAGGGGGAGGTATACCTACTTTTGGAGATGTCCCTACCACATGGGGGGCCATGGGGCAACCCAAGAGGCAGGGCAGACACTGTATAGTGGCCCAGGTGACCTGTGGGTACAGCAGGCAAGCTGGTGTGTACCTGTGCAAGCAACAGCGGCCAACACCCAGGCCTGACCACTATACACAGGTCGCCCTTGGCCTGTGAGCCACTGCCGCAGGATAGGCACGCTGCCCCGGCGCTTGTTCAGCAAGGCCTCTTCCTGGGCGTCTTTGGTTTGCGGGATGGGCAGGACACTCTTCTCCTTATGAGCATGCAGCTGTTTGGGGAAATGTGTGGATGTTATGTGAGTGCCAGGACAGAACAGCTTCCGGGGGTGAGTAAGGAGGGCTCACTGCAGTTCTCCAAGTGTGGTGAACAGATCACCTGCATCAGAATCACCTGGAACTTGTTAAACCTGCATGTTCCTGAGCTCCACTCTTGCCCACTGGGTTATAGCCTCTAGGGGTGGGGCTCGGGAATCCTCCTTTTTAACAAGTCCTTCAGAAGCCAGGGGTTTTGGACCCACTGGCAAAGAAAGTTGGAGCCACAAGAGTGCATGCCAGCTGCCCCTCACTGGGGGCTGGTTTCACTGCTCCTTTGCTTGCCTGGCCCTGCTTCCTTTGAGAGTGTTTGCACCTGGGGCCTTGAGGCCCACTTATCCCAAGCTTCCTCTTCCTCACAGGCTGGCCTCGTCCCTCACCACCTCTCCAGAGGGGAGTGCAGAGGCACAAAGGAAATGGGGAACACATTTTAGGGACGACGGGAAAGCACCAAGCTACCTGCATGGTCTCCATATTCTTAGGAATAATTTAGAAATAAAACCAAACCCCTTTGACCACCTTAGCAGCAAACACTGGGTAAGATGGATCCTCCCTCTCCCTCCCAGGGACTTAAGCTTCCAGGTTGGGCTGGGGGTGGGGGGTAGGGAGGAGGCAGGGGAGGGAGGAGTGCTCTGAGGAAATCCAGGCCAGTTTTAGTCCTTGGCTGGCTTGTGTCCTGAGAGATGATACCGGCCTTTGCTTTTCCCTCCCGCTGTGGATGCTATTGTCCTCCACTCCTCACTCAGACCCTTCTCCAGGAACTGTCTCCCAAACCCTGGGAGGAGGGGACCATTGGTGATTTGAAGATTTCCAGGGCCATAGAGGTGGGCAGCTCTGTCAGAGGGCTCCCGGCTCATCTCCTCCCACTCTGGCCTCCCCTTCCCCCGCCTTTCACTCACCAAGGCGCCCAAAATGCAGGCCACACGCACAGGGTTGCCCCACTGCTCCACCTGCTTGTCCTCGCTCAGTAAGGCCAGGCTGAGGTCGAAGATATCCCCCTCGAACTGTAAGGAACACACAGGGCCATGGTGAAGGGTCTCCATCCCACAAGACAGCCTGTGTCAGCTCATCTTTCTCCCAGACTCCACTCCTTCCTCCCATGCCTCGTTCGTTGTCCCCCTGCACCTCCTGGTCCCTGTGCCTGGGCACAGTCCTTTGCCTGTTCTGTTGTCTAACTTGCCTGATAGAGTGTGAGCTCTAGAGGACTAGGGCTGTGCTGTTTCCTTTCATTTCCATCGTTTTCCATTTAGTACACACCTACTGCTCCTGTCAGCACTGAACTGTGTGTGGAGGACACCAAGGCAGCTCCTGCTCTTGAGCAGCCGCGGTTAGGAGTGGAGAGGGACACATAGCCACTTAGACTACAGATCTCAGCCACGTGGCCAGGGCCCTGGGAGAGACGCCAACCCAGAGCAGAGAGCACAGTGGAGAGATTCACTCTGCCTTTGGGGGCTGAGGAGGGCTTTCAGAGGGTCTTAAAACATGGGTAGGAGTTTTCCAGGGGATAAAGAAGGGAAGCTATTCCAAGCAGAGGGAACAGTCAGCCTGTATGTTCAGGGGATGTTGAGGAGCGGGAGCGTGGGTGGCTCTTGGGGAAAGGAAAGCAGTGGCCTGGCTGTGAAGGGCCTTGTGTGTCAAGCCAACAGACTTGGTCTTTGTCTTGTAGAGTGGGGATTTAACAGAGGTTTGATTTGCATGGTCTTTAAGAAGATAACTCTGGAAGCTGTGGAGGATGGTCTGATGTGGCCCTGAGGAAAGAGTGGCACCACATGGCTGAAACGGCCTAAAGAAATGGCCTCATGGCCAGGGGCTTTTGGACCTGCCAGCTCTGTCTAGCCTGAACACTGAAGGGGCAATCACCGTCCCCTCTCCTTCCCTGGAGGCCCCCGTACCTGGCCAAAGTCCCAGGACTCTTCCTGGATGCAGTCAGCCGTGCCCAGGTAGATGAGGCCATTCTGGTTCAACAAGTACTCCTCGCGTTCAGCTTCATTCTCCAGGAACACAGCATCCTCTGGTGAGAAGCAGGCAGGGATGAGGGCCTGTGGGGTGCTAGGCCTGCCCCCACATCCAGGCCTCTGCTCTCCCTGCCCAGGTCAAGTTCGGCTGCAGGCCTTCCCTTCATCCCTGGGCCTGATGAGGACTGAGGAGGAACTCCCTCTTTTCACTGTCCCCACTGGGACATGGCCTCCTCTGTGGTGGAGAGCAGGGAGAGGGGTCCGAGTTCCTGGGTCAGCCAAGGTGTGGCCTTCATGGCCAGCCAGGCAGATAGGAACAAGCCAATGTTAAAAAGCCTACTGGTTCCCAATGACATGTGCAGCCAGAGTTCAATCAGCCCAAGAGAATTTGGCAGTAGCCCAGGGAGCTTCCCAGGGGGCCTGTTATGTATCTCCCACAAGTTCACCTTAAAAAAAAAAAAAAAACGTATTTCATCAAACAGGTTGACAAGGGTCAGCAGAAGGGAAGAAGAGCATTTGGCAAGACAGGGCCAGAGGGAGCAGTGGGGCTGGGCGAAGTGGGAGCCAGAGCATTGGCTTCCACCCTGGGGAGAGTCCAGGAGGGCCTAGGACTCACAGCCTCTCCTGCTGTCCTCATCCAAGGGTCGGGCTGGGGTTCATGAGGAGAATGGGGGCTTTAAGGAGGCTGTCACCCACTCTAGGGAGCTGGGAGCAGCAGGGGGACCTGCTCTGCTGCCAAGTGTCTCTCTCCACACCTGGTGCTGGGGGTGGAGTGAGGGGTGGCTAGACTGGTTCCTGGGGACTGAAAAGAGAAAAGGATCTCCAAGGCATCCCCCCAGGCATCCAGTTGGGGTGAGGGTACTCAAAGCAATAGAAGGATAGGGCATTAGAAATCAGGAAGCTCTGAAAAACCTGGGGCCTAAAATCACAGAATTATGTGCCCAAGGAGCCCTCGACTCCTGCCCCTCCATCCTGAGTACTCTCTATGAAATCAGCTGGACATCACGTCTTTGGAAATCACTTCAAATTGAGGTGTTTGGCCCCAGGCTCTGCAGGGCTCTGGGAAGCACTTTATCGGAGCACAGGTAGCACCCCCCTCCTCTTCTCCGCCTGGGTTCAGCCCCTTTTTATAAAGTTCCTGGCTTATGAATAGGACTCTGACTTTCATTATAGGATGTAAAATTTCCTTTTGAATCCAGGAGAGCCCCATGTCCCGGTATGCTAAGATGAGACTACATCCCAGATAATCTCTGAAAATCTCTCAATCACCTTCCAGAGGAGCAGAGCCAATAACTCACTCCTGCCCAGAAAGACACTCCACATATACTCACATAGAGAGGTCTTCCCCAGGCAGGTCCCTACAAGCCAAGCACAGAAGCAGGACTCCTGGCATGGAATCAAGACTGTGGGTTCCCTCTGAACTGAGCACTGTCCCAGGACTATCTTTGCTGTGTGTTTGCTCTGCTGCCAGGGCCCAGCTCTGGATGTGGGCTCAGAGTCAGCGAGGAGGCGGGTGTGCTAAAGCCTCAGCTTTGGAGGGAAATGGCTTGAGGGTCTTTTTGTCTGTATGCAGAGAGTCATAGGGCCTCCCCCAAGTGAAGGGGCCCTGAATCCACACTCACTTGCATGGGGCAGGGACACCTGAAGGGACACTAGTTCCAATATATTGTTCCATCTGCCCACCCCCTTGGAGGTAGGAAAGAAGGGCCTGAACTGAAGACAGGTAGGGCCATCTGAAGGAGGGGGGATTGGAGAACCCCACTCTGGGCAAGAGAAGTGGAGAGAGGGAGCCCACTGGGATTTGGGTGCCACATAGAAAGGGAGTCAGGAACTGGGGTCCAGGGACAGGGGCCACAGGAACCTGGGAAGATTTCTTCTCCTTCCGCATGTTGCCTCCCATTTCCCAGCCCTGCCTTGTAACGAGGCCCCTTCAGGCTGGCAGTGAAACTCTTGAAAGCAAAAGGCTATGTGCTGGTTGTCTGGAGTAGCAAGGATAGGAAAGCCGGAAGAAAATGTTTTCCACTCCCCCAAACAACCCTTCAGGGAGTCCAAAGGAATAAGGTGGGTGGTGGCAGATTTAAAAGGGAAAGACAGACTCAATCTTCAGAACGGGAAGGAAGAAGAGATGCCCTGTTGGCTCCTATTTGGGGCACATCAACCGTGTCTCATGGCCTTTTCCAGATGAAATAGCCCCAACAGCCTGGGCTGAGCTTTGCCAGAGGTGGGGTTGGGTGCAGGAGATCACCTGACCCCAAGAAAACCCACCCATAGGCCACTGAGCTACAGGAGGCTGGCTGTTTAATTTGTGGCTTCAGTCAGAGATCTAGATGGGCTAATGTGGAGAGGACCCAGCGGTCTGTAGTAAGAACAGAACAAGCAAATGAAGAGAAGAGATAGCGAAACGGGGCAGATTTACTGTGAAGCTGATGAAGCTGAAGCTTTGGGCCCCTCACTAGCATAGACCCCTTTAGGCCCTGGGAGTGACCTTAGCAATTCAAAATTATGTATTCTTTTTCTTAAAGAGGGTTTTCCAAAGTACATAAACCTCAGGTCCCACAAAACCTAGATTCATCCTGGAGATAGACTGCGGGAGCACAGGGAGGAAACAGAGAAGCCTGTCCCTCGGGTCCCCTCCATTCCTGAAAGCACTTTCCAGTCCTCAGTCCCTGTACTGTTGCAATAAAGAGTAACTCTCCTAGGGTCCTCTTGGTAAGTTCAACTCCTGGGACCAAATAGCCTGAGCCAGTGCCAGCGTTTGGTGGTGAGAGAAGCCTTTGCTTTCAGTGGGAAGCCCCAGGCTGCTTCTGCCAGGGGTGACACCAAGACAGGACCCTGAGTCTGAAAGGCCATTCACCCGCTGAGGAGGCACCGCAATAACTGAGTGCTGGTGCTGCCCTTAGTGGGAGCTGTTTGCGGGGCCTGGCCAGATGCTTCCTGCCTGATCTGCATCCTAGCTCCCGTGCCTCGAGTCCCTTTGCAGCCCAGACTGGCCCAGGTCCAAACTCACCTCGAGCCCAGGGGTTAAAGAGCAGTGTGAACTGGCCCAGGAGGTGTTGCTTCCTGCCTGAGACCTGCAGCAGGAGCCAGTATTGGCCAATGACAGCGTCTGCGGGCGTGGTCACAGAGATGATCCAGGACTGGGCATCTCTCTTCTCCACCTCTGCATTCCACCCCTTCGGGTCCCCCGGCCTGGAAATCGGGAGTGTGGCTTGGGTCCCCTTGGCCTTGGAAGGCTGCTCTCCTGCAGTCACACAGAAATGAATTGGTCATTTGGACCTCTTGGTCACAACTCAGAGTAATAAAGTCAAGTATCACAAAGTTGGGGAAGGTAAAAATTGGTTTTGGAGGGGAATGAAAGCAGCCCATCCAGTAATGGGAGACATTAAAGAGTGATGAGAGAGCACAGGCTCTTAGACCCATGGACCTGCGTCTAGAAAAGGATCATAGTCTATAAAATGGGCGTAGTAATAATACCTGCTTCGTAGGGCCGATGTGAGGTCTTAATGAGATATTGCATGTAAAGCACTTGGCCCGATATCTGACATGTAGTACAGATTCAATAAAGAGTAGCAATTAAATGTTATATTTAGGCTGGATTAGCTCCCATTCAGGCTTTTCTACAAAACTGATATTATATTTGCAACTAAAAGGAACCCTTTAGTATAATGCTACTGAACAACTTCTGAATCATAATAAACACTATTTATTGCACAGTGGTTCCTCCATATCCGTGGTTTCACTTTCCGTGGTTCAGTCACCCTCAGTCAACAGCAGTCTGAAAATATTAAATGCAAAATTCCAGAAATAAACAATTCATGAGTTTTAAATTGCACACTATTCTGAGTAGCATGATGAAATCTAGCCTGTCCCACTCTGTCCCATCCAGGACGTGAATCATCCCTTCGTTGGATCCCCAACCATCGACATCGTCAGCTCCTGACATCCAACCATCCACATCATCATGACTCTATGATTCTTCTCCTGACAAATCATCAGAAAGTCAGTAGTAGCCTAACGCTACGTCATGATGCCTACATCATTCACCTCACTTCATCTCATCACGTAGGCATTGTATCATCTCACAGCATCACGAGAAAGGTCAGTAAACGACAATAAGATATTTTGTGAGAGAGACCACATTCACATAACTTTTATTACAGTATATTGTTATAATTGTTCTATTTTATTATTAATTGTTGTTAATCTCTTACTAATTTATAAATTAAACTTTATCATAAGTATGTATGTACAGGAAAAAACATAGTACATATAGGGTTTGGTACTACCCGTGGCTTCAGGCATCCACTCGAGATCTTGAAACATCTCTCCTGTGGATAAAGAGGGACTACTGTACACGTTATTTCCTCCTCACAACAGCCCTGCCAGGTGGGCAGACTTCTTGAGGCCCAGGTGCGGTGTGGTCCATTTGCTCCTTGGTTTTTTGAGGGAGTGCTAGAGAGAGAACCCCTCAGTCCTGCTGTCAAAGGGGTCTAGGCCTGCCCCACTTACCAGTTTGTGCGATGAGGACCACCTTCTTCAGAAATTTGTGGACTGGAGCCCGGAACTGCATGCTGATGGCGAAGGGCTGCCCTCTTCTCACGATGAGGCGCTGGGAGCTAATGGCCTTGGTATGGTGTTCCTCATTGTTTCTTGCTGCCTGAAAGTCACAGCTCTTGATTCCCAGGGCTACCATGGAAAAGAGAGAAATCATGGAGACTAGGTAACTGTGACAGCGTAAGTAAAAGCAGACCCTGGAGTCAAAGAGACCAGGTTTCAAGTCCTTAGCTCAACTTACTAGCTGTGCCACGACAGGCAAGTAACTTAACCACTCTGAGCCTCAGTTTCCTCTTACAAGAATCATCCCTACTTGCAGAGTTGTGGAGATTAAATTAAGTGATGTATATAATACAAGTAGCACAGTGTCAGAGACATAGGGAGTCCCATTAAATGAGATTGTTACTATTATTATTAATAAGAGCAATGCTTGTTCTCATTGTTGACCTCCTTTTCTGGTCCCAATCCAAAAACAATGAATAAAATCCAGAATTTTGCTCACCCTTGCTCATTTTTTCTTGGAACACAATCATACTTTTTAGAGCTGGTTTTGAAGTCACCAAGTCCAAATCTCTTGTTTTATAGATGAGAAGAGTGAGGCCCAGAGTTTAGAACGAACTCACTTGAGATCATACATGGCTCTTTCACCTAAAGGCTCACCAAACCCATGGCACCATGCAGCCCAGAAAAACCCTACAAAGAGGGGGGCTGAGACTATTATGATCGTCTATCAGGCAATTCTCACTTTACAATGAGAATTTACAGTGAGACTTATAAATGTTCTAACAGACCCACGCAGAGGCCCCTGAGGTTTCTGCATCCTCTGGTTCTGCCTATTTTCTTGCTTTCTGTCTGTCTCTGCCCGTTTTGGTTGGGTTCCCTGACTCCTACCTCCCCTTCTCTCCTGTTCAGCCTTGAGGGATCACCTCATGATTTCTCAGGGTCATCCCCCATGTGCATCACAACCCAGTGAGAACAGTCATGTTACGATGATCCTGGGATCAGAATATAAATCCATGTTAACCACCATCACCATCTTACCACCATCACCACAACTATGACCACCAACAACCTACTCTGTTGCCACTCCATAGCTCCACCACCAGTACCACCACTACATCACCCATTACCCCTCCCCACCATAGCCCCACATCACCTCCACCACCACCAGAACCTACTACTACCCTCCCCGCCAGAGTCACACAACCTCCTCTACCACCAGCACTTACTACCAACCCCATACACCATAGCCCCTCTATCATCAGCAGCACCCATTTACTATCCTCCCATCATAGCCCTACCACCATCACCTTCACCACTATCAACACCCACTACCATCCCCCACCATAGTCACACCACCATCACCAGCACCCATTTACCACACCCTCACACACTGTAGAAACACCACCATCACCTCCACCATCATCCTGCTACTTTTAATGAAAACATGTAATGATGGAGGAGCTACTGACAGTCCGGTAAGCCCTGTGGAGTGCTGGCTTGGCTCACCCTGTCCCATGGCTGCAGGCTGCTCTTATCCACTTGATCACGGGAAATGCCTGTCTTGAACTGTCCTCTGGGCTCCCTCTCTGAATCTGTCCTCCAGGCAGAAAATGATGGAGGCACTTTTCTTGAGTTAAGAATCTGTAAATAGTGGAGTTTGCTTCTGCTCCTCCTGTGAGCTCCCCCACATGTTTCTTCTTTCCTACTCCCTCCCTGCTGGTATCTCTTGAACCAGCTGCTGGGAGTTACCCTTTTTCATTTTATCTCTTGTGCCAGGAGGCCCAGGCAGGGGTCTGCCTGGCAGGCTGAAGTGGGGGGTAGAGTGGGGGAAGAACTGCCAGCTGAAGAAGCCCAAAAGAAACTTCTAAGCCTGTGGCTTCAGTGGCCTCAAGAGACCCTCAGAGATGTTATCCGGACAGCCCTGGAAGACTCTGGAAGAGATGACTCCACAAACAGGAGGCCCATATCCAACTCAAAATCTCTGGCCCTAAACATACCATGGGCTGCAAGTTCGTGAGCTGTTTTGATAATATAAAGAGAGAACGTGTATGTCTGGGATTCATCTGTGTGAAAGAGATAAGGAGGTAGAATATGTTGATGAAAAATAAAGTTTGTAAAAGCAGAAGCCAGAGCCCTGGCTCTTTCAATCCTGCCGGGTCTGGGACACTCTGCCAGAGAAGGTTTGGAGATACCTTGGGACGCAGGGCCTATGTCTTTCTATTTCAATTGTTTAGTCACTGAGGAGACAAGACACAGGAGAGGATCTCCTATTTGGCCCTCTTTGGCCTTCTAAAGCCCGGCTCAGGGGCAGCTGTGCTGGCCTGCGTCTATATGGGGTGTCTATAGAAGGATATAAAGAAACCACAACGAGCATTGTTTCTCTGTGAGGAGGGGAGCTGGGGACTGGGTTAGGAAGGTGATTTTTCTGCTGTTTACCCTTTTATACCTTTACAACTTTGAACTATTGCTCATTTGAAGAATCTTATTATGTGAAAAAATGAAGCTTCTGCCTTCTCACTCCCCTCAAAAAAGATTCTTCATGAGAAATGAAACGGTAAATTTTTCATTATTTGAAAATGATATGATTTTTACCTGGATAACCTGAATCTACTAAAAAATGATTATAGAAGATAAGATAATTTAGTAAGCTGATCTTAAATTTAATGCATTCCCAATAAAAAGTCTAACAAGTTTTTTCTCTGAAACTAGAAAGAAAACTTCTAAAAGATCTAAAAAATCTAAAAAAGATCTAAAGATGTTTTAGATTAAAACATCTAGAATATGTTTTAATATCTAGGAAGCCTGGTCAAACTACATTTCTAATTTCTAATGTAGTGTGACCAGGCTTCCTAGATGTTAAAACGTAATATGACGTTACTGTAAGTGAAAAAGTACATGGACCAAAATGTGTACATTAAGTATGTGCTGACTGTGGCACTTTGAGTCCATGGGGAAAATAAGGACTCACTAGTAAATGGTTTGAGGATAACTGTCTTGCCAAAATAAAGTTGATTTCCTACCTTGCACCATACAACAAAATAAATTTCAGATGGATCAAAACTTTAAATGTAAAAAATTAAATTCTAAAGTACTAGAAGAAAAGATAAGAGACTTATTCTTAAGTCCACTTGGGGAAGGCCTTTTAAAATGTTACACAAATCCCAAAAGCCATAAAGAAACGATTGATAAATTCAATTTCTTCAAAATTTTTACATGGAAAAACTCATAAACAAAGTTAAAAGATACACAACGAATTGGGGAAAAATGTTTGAAACTCATATCACAAAGGGTTAATTTCCTTAATGTAAAAGACGCCTACAAATCAATATGAAAAGAAAAACAAATCAGTAGAAAAATGGGTAAGGATATGACGGACAATTCACAGAAAAGGAAATTCAAATGTCTCTTAAATATGTGAAAAGATGTCCAGACTCATTTAACATAAATGTAAAATAAAACTACCCTGGGATATCATTTTTTTCACCTATCAAATTGGTAAAGATAAAATAGTTTGACACTTTTCTGAGTTAGTTATGATTTGGGGAAACAGTTACTCCCTTATAGTGCTGGTAGGGGTGTAAATTGGTGCAGCTTTGTGGAGGGAAATTAAGTATGTCTACCAAGACTTTAAATGCTTGTACTTTTGAATCAGCCATTCTACTTCTAGATCTTTATCATGCAAATAACAAAACAGGTGTAAAATGAAATTTATATGAGTATATCCATTGCACTGGTATTTATAATAGCAAAATATTGGAAACTACATAAATGTCCATAATTAAGGTACTAGATAGATCAGTTATGGGACATGCATTCAATAGACTACTGTACAAGTGTGAAAAAGAATGAAGCAGCTCTATATAAACTGATATGGAACAATCTCCAAGCTATATTGTTAAGTGGAATAAGCAAGGTATAGAACAGCATGAATAGTATGTTACCTTGGTATAAGGGGGGAAATATATATGAATTTGCTTGTGTTTATGTAGAATATTTCTGGAAAGTTGTTGCTTCTGTATAGGGAAATTCAGTGCCTAGGAGTAAGGTTTTTTTCTGTATATCCGTTAGTATCTTTGTACCACAAGAAAATATTATATGTTAATGTTGAAAAAATAACAAAACTTACAAGGGAAAGAAAAGGCTGACCAGAAGATTGTTTTCACCACTGTGAGCCCCCTACCTGGGAGGGCAATGGGGGAGTCATGGACTGGCTCCCTCTTGGGGGTTTGTTCCACTCCTGGTACTAGCAAAGAGAATCTTCTCTCACCTGATACAATTTCCATGGAGCTTCACAAATATCCACTCTCGGGCAGTATTTTGGTTGGGCCACTTTTGGGCGAGCCCATGATGAGACAGATACTGCTGCGTTTTGGTTGAGCTGAGTAAAGGTGAATGGGAAATGTGAGGAGGATGGAGGGGAGGGCTTACCAGAAAGTTCTGTCCTGCTTCCTACTGCACCCACACCTTTCAACTCCCCAGCCTCTGGCAGAAAAACAGATCTTCAGCTGGTTTGTACCTAAGAAGGATTCATTTATTCATTCATGACACAAATATTTATTGAGTACCATTGTGCATCAGGAACTGTATTAGGCACTGGAAATGTAGTAATAAATTAGATAGATGGTCCTGCCACCAAGGAGCTTATGTTCCAGCAGGGAGAAACCAACAGTACTAAGTTCCTACACTGTTAGTTATTCACTTGCCATTGTGATAAGCTCTATAAAAGAGAAGTTCTGAATTTTAGGACCCGGGTGTAGAGATCAAGGAAGGCTTCCCTGAGAAAATGATATCTAAGCTGAGAAACTGGAAAGATAAGTAGGAGTTAGCTAGGCAATGGAGAAAGGGGTAGGGCGGGGAGGAGGAGAGAGAACAGCTAGTACAAAGGCACTAAGGCAGGCAGCAATTGAAGGAAGGCCAGTGGGTCTGGAGCACCGATTGTGACCAGGAGAGGCAAGGCAAGGCAAGGGCGAAATCTTGCAGAGTTGACTTAAGGGTTTTGAATTTTATCCTCAGAGCACTGGGAAGCTATTGAATGGTATTTTAAGCAAGGGAGTAGAGTTGCATTTTTCAAATACCACAGATTTGCATTTTTCAAATACCACACTGGCTAAAATAGGGAAAATTATTTAGAGGGGACAAAAGTGGAAGAGAAAGGACCAATAAAAGACGACCATAATGGTTCAAGTGAGAGATGATGGTGGCCTGGTCAGGAGAGTGTTGGTGAAGATAGAGGTGGACAGATTTGACAGAAATGTAGGAGGTTAAATTGGCAAGACATGCAAATGAACAGGATATGGAGAGCAAAGAAGAAAAGATATTCAATGTGACTCCCAGGTCCAAATTAATTTGCTGGTACATTGCTTTACGAAGCACTTTCACATACCTTATCTCATATTATCTGAACCTCAATCTTGTAAACTAAGTAAGGGATCATTATTCCAATTTTATCGGTGAGAAGACAGTTTCAGGGAGTAAACATGCTTACTTTAATGAATTAATTAATGAATAAATCAATTAGCATACTGTCTCGTTCCAGAAAAAATTAAAGATGACTAACAATGAAACATGATGTTTCAGAAGAGCATATATTAAAATGATGCAAAGGATAAAAGATGGATAGAGATGGAGATAAAACAGAGCTAAGGATGAAGCCAAAAATACACATCATAACCTACCTATACACATGCTGTCCACACACAAGAAATTTATCTCTAGCCTTCCCAGGACTTGAGGCTTTCCTAACATCTCACAGTTTATGGTAAAGACTGGGCTTACACTAGGGTCTTCCAGCTAAAATCCCATACATTTGATTTCACATTAGCCTATCATCCAAACCACCCCTGAGAAAGTCTCTCTATTCAATTTTTTAAAATTTCTCCAGGATTTCTGCTTCTAGATATAGAAGACCAGCTTGATACCATCTCCCATGTTGAGAATAACTAGAAAAGCTGAATAAAATATTTTAAATATCTCTCTGAAGGCATCAAGGCAGCAGGGATTTGAGGGATCAAGATCTTGGAGATAAGAGATGCACAGAGAGGTGAGCCTGACAGAGCATCACTTTTCCCTCTGGGGCATTTGCTGATTCATAATTGGCAGATGACAGCTTGAGAATCTAAGCAGATCTTCTGGCAGCCTCACAGGGTTGGAGGATAAAAATTGGAGTTCCAAGGCCACCAAAGATGAAGGGCCCCAATAAATACTGCAGGTTTTCTGTTGGACCCCCTGAAGGGCTGTACCCCGGGAGTAAATGTAAATACGAAATATACCAACACTCACAAAGACTGAAACCCAATTTTGTTTGTTTGCTTTTAGACACTCAGTCAGTGGGGCTTTTTTATTCCTGTTGGCATTGTTATGGAGACTAGTATTATCAGTATTATTTATCTAACAAAGTTGTAAAGTTGTAAATGTTTACATTATTGTGAAAGAGATCTCCAGAACCTTTTCATCTTGCAGAACTGAAACTCTATACCCCTTAAACACAACTCAGCTTTGCCCTCTCCCTCCTCAGCCTCAACCTCTGGTAACCACCATTCTACTTTCTGTATCTATTAATTTGACTAATTTGGGTATTTCATATAAGTGGAATCATACAGTATTTATCCTTTTGTGACTGGCTTATTTCACTTAGCATAATGTCCTCAAGGTTCATCCATGTGATGAACCTTTTTAAGG